CTAAAGCTATACGATGCCTGATTCCGGTGTTTGCTTAGGCGCCGTAATTATCTTATGATACGGCCATTCCATTTAGAGCATAGAAAAACTCTCCCTCTCTCTCTCGCTCTGATGGTATAATTTTTAGAATTATTTTGGCTTTTACTCTGCGCAATTTTGTTGAATATTTAATATTTATGTTTTGTTTAATTTTATGTTCAAAAGTAAACAGTGCTGCTAAAGAGAACCCTTAATGTTTATGAATGTATATTATCTTGTCTTCTTCAGTTGACTTTGGATATACACATGGTATTCATATGGACAGATGCTCGCATAATTTAATAATGAATTAGATTTAAGACTCTACTGCATCATCATCGTTTTAATCTGTGCCCAGAGCTCTCTGGGGCAAAGCAACTGCCTCTGGCCAATCTTTTCTATTTAATAAAGCCAAAGAGCTTTCATAGAGTTTCATTTCCTTTTGGTTAAATGAAACCTGACTAGTTTCTAGTTTCCTTCGGCATTTCTTAAGTTACTTTTGCATTTCTACTAAACACATTTTACTCTTTGCTGAGCTGCGTTTGCATATTCGCAGTTGACTTTGAGTCGACACAGACTCGTTACGTTGGCATTGATGGTCAGTTTCATCGCTGGCTTATTAGATTTTTCTCCTTCTGTACGGTGACCTTTTTGTTGGAGAAGAGTGAATCGCCAAAATGCGCTACCCATTTCATTCTTTCGTTACCCTATTTCCACAGCTTAAATATATATTGTATTAAATCACCCTCGTCAATCAATTGCGTTGACATGCAACGGACACGCAGCGCGCAGAGCTTCTCAGCGTCTCAGATTATTGTGTTTAATAAAAAATTAAGTACAGGGTTCAAAGTTCAACAATTTCACCAGCTGCTTTAAAGGAAGCGACAGAACGAAAAAATGAAGAATGCGCGTTGCGCACAAAAAATCGCTCATCCGCCACATTGGCGGCATTGGCAATGCGCGTCACGTTTCAATTGTTTCAGCGTGTGCTTGGACAAACACATGTAGGGAACATATTGAGATGTAGAAAAAATCCACTCTGTATGGCATAATACATATTCGCGCGCAACGGTCAGAGCAAGGACAAATGCCAACAAGTGCAAGGACATAAACGTTAACATTACTGCAAAAGGCAGCAGCAGCAGCAGGAATAGCAGGCGTAGCAGCAGGAGCAACATCAGTTGTTGATTTATTGAATACTAAGTGCTTGCAGCAACTACAGAACTGCAACTTTAAAACTTCTCATTGGCGCACGGAAGAAATCCGCTGAGAACTTTGTGAAACAAGCCAATTTGAATAACTAAACAAAGCTTATAAAATGCGAGCATAGAACAAGCATAAAAAACTGTTTTAGTAAATTGTAACCACAAGGCAATGTAGAAACTTTATCATAGAGAATGGAAGGGCAAAGTCTGTAAACTACTTTAAAAATAAATAACAGTGTATTCTTCCAGGCAACTCGACTGGAAGTTGCTCTCCACCATATAAAAAGAAATCATAATAAAAAGTTACATGAGTTTTCTCTTAGCAAAAACAAATGCCCATATAGTCTATATGAATCACAAATGTATATATGTATGTATACATATGTATATAGACATCTTTTATGCATTGCAACATTTAATATGTTACACATTTCGAAATGAAATGTTGTTACCCTGTTGGTTAGGGCATGCCACGTGATGGACGCTCGGGTGTAAAAAGTTTTCCGCCTGAGCGTCAACTTAATTATTGAATGGCCCGGAACAGGCGAGCCGGGAAACAGGTGTGCAAAGCAGCCGCATTTTGTATATTAAATGTCCGACTTAGAGAAAATTTTAAATTGAAAAACTTTGCGCGGCGAACAAATTAAAAAAGCCCATGTCCAAAACTTGGCAGGAGGCGGCAGGCAGCAGGCGACAGTCATAAGGCAACAAATTCAACAATAAATCCGTTCAGCTTTAAGAGATCGAATGAATGAGATTCCCAATAGCTCAATAGCTGCAGTTGCAGCTGGTTGCATGCCGCCATTTATTGCACGAAGTTAAAGAGTCACGTGCCGTCAAATTGATTGCCACACACACACACACATACACATGGTAAAGCAAATAAATGAATAAAAAATTAAATGAATGAATAAATAAATGTAAAAATTATTCAATTCAAATATTTGCGATTTGCGCATTTTAATTGTGGCCAATTTATTTACGTTGACAAGTTAAATCATGCAAAAAATGTACGTTGATTAAGTTTCATTTATGCCAGCCCTGAAAGCCAAATAAATATATCTAATTAAACATCAGATGTCCTTAACACATATATAAGTGTAGGTCACGCCATAATGAAGCATTTCCAGCCTGGGAATATAAATATATTTATCTATGAATATAGTAGAGGGATAGCTGGACTGAATACCAACTCTTTCAGCATTGACTATTGCTTATCATACATTTTTTGTTTATATGTAATATATATTATATATGTATAAAATAGTATAATTAACTAGCTCACACATACATATAATAGTAGAATTAACTATATAGAATTTTAGTATATATTTCTCTCATATATCAGAGCACACGATCTGCAGCTATTTGATGCTCTTCATATTTGGGCAGGTCTTGCTTACTTAGGAGAGCAAACAGTAGGCAGCAGCTTGCTTAGGCTGTGGACACGGCCTTGCACTCAATTTGACGGCTCTGTGATGGTGCTTAAGGCGAGGCCATTGGAGATTGCTGGCCAGACGACGCCGCCTTCTTACATGTGTTGATGCCATTAAAGTTTTCATTGCTTGATTTGACATGAGCCAAGGGCAACACACAATTTCTTGTGCGGGGCGCAGCCCCAACACTTATTTGCCGTTGTCCTCATTGCCAGCTGATGGATGGAGACGCATGGAATGGATGCTGAATGGCCTATCTGTTTAACTGCTGCTTACACGCGTCTCTCTCCCACCCACGCAATCGCAATCTCAATCTCTTCCCATCTCTGTTTCACTGTCTCTCTCAGTTTTATGAGCTTTTAAAATGCTTGTTCAACAACTGAAGGCGAATCCCTTTATGCGCTACATAATATTGAACTCCAGCTGATGATGATGATGAAGTAAGCGGCATCCCTGCTGGATCCACTTGATTTATGCCAACTGCAAGAGCCGAAAGTTAAACTCATTTTCTGCGTCTGCTGCATATAAATTTCGTTAGTAGTTGCAATGGCGCTACGATTACGATGGCCCTGCCCAAGCAAGACAAGGCCAACTTTATGTTGCCCGAAAGTATTAAAACTTTTTTCGTTGCTGCGCCTTTGATCCTTGGGCACAGACAGCGAACATCGGCAGCTGGATGTGGGCCCATAAACGTGCCATTGCCATTGCCACTGACATTGCATATGCCTCAACGGTTCACGGCCTGCCCTTAGCGAAAGTGGCGAGACTCAGTTGCATTCATTTTTAAATAGCTGGCTGACAAGGCGTGGCATGCATGTGTGGCAGCTGACACCTGCACTTCCTCTCCTCTCACTGTCGGTAAATACAAATTAAATGCTTGCTCGAAATGCCCTTTAATGCTTGCCAAGCCGTCATCAACTGAGCATCACTTCGCTTGACAGATGGCTCTCCACTTGACACCCACATTAGCGAAAGTATAAATAGACATAAATAAGCATAAATATATTTTATTATCTCTAGTATTCCATTCAACAAAGGTCAGTGGGCTAAGCCCAATTTGCAGCTAAGCTCATGTTGCTCCTGCTACTGCTGCTGCTCCTACTGCTGCTGCTGATCCTACTGCTACTACTTCTACTACTGCTCCTGCTCCTGCTGCTGTAGCTGCTCCTATTGGTCTTGCTCTTACTGCAGCTGCTCCTACTGCTGCTGCTGCTCCTGCTCCTGCTCCCCCTGCTGCTCCTGCTGCTGCTGCTCAAGTTGCTACTCCTGCTACTGCTCCCGCTCCTACTGATGCTCCTACTCCTGTTCCAACTCCTGCTGCTGATCCTGCTCCTGCTCAAACTCCTGCTACTGCTCCCGCTCCTACTGCTGCTCCTACTCCTGCTCAAACTCCTGCTGCTGCTCCTACTCTTGCTCAAACTCCTGTTGCTGATCCTGCTCCTGCTGCTGCTGCCTGGTTGACATTTGTTGAAACGTTTTGCTTTCAACTCGCGGCCATTTTTATTGCCTGCCATTTTACAAAATGGTGCAGACATAAAAAATGGCCGGCACGCAATGCGGCAACTTGTTGGCTCTCTGATTTGCCTCGATGCGCTGTTGGCCACTTGGATTCGCGGCTAAGGCTATTAAAGCCTTAATATAGTCAAGCCGTTTGACTATTTGGGTATTTCGCCTGCCCGGCTGCCAGTTCGCCCATTTGCATGCGCCCTCACGAAATGTGAGCTCGAAAAACTTGTGCCCAATGCTCCGTAACTTTAGTTTAATAGTTGCCCGCGCGAGTTTCGCTTTGGCAACTCGCGTCGCCTTTTAATGCAAATTATAACGTTGCCGGCGCCAAAAAGTTGCTCGTGCTTCAACAATTTCGTGTGCCAAAGATTAAATGCAACCTCCTCCCCAAGCCAAGCCCCGACTGCATCAACTGCTTTGCAGTTCTGGCTAAAGCGACGTCAATTTCGTCAGGCGCTATTTCTCAATTTGTGTGTTTTGAGTTCAGCAAAGCAGCAGGTGAGCTGTTGGACTAGACTTACAAAAGAGAAAAACAACTTTAAACTTTAACTAGACCAAATTGTTCTACACTATGTGAACAACAACAACAAACAGTCCACAGTCCATTTCTAGATGAAAATGAACTTTTGGTTAAGCTTTAAGGATAACTTGACCATTATTATTTATCATTTAATAAATGTAGAAAATACATACATATATTTAATTTACTTTGCACAGTGAGATTAAAATACTATAAAATTTATTTTTATTAAATATTATATTTTTAAATTCCTGCAGAATTTTTATTTATATTTACATAATATAATACATATACATACACACATAATCGAACCAGCTATATACTTATATGCAAAGCAAATTTTTATTTACGTAATTCGATTGATTTTATATTTTAAAACTATTTTTTAGGCCCACCAATTACTGATGCGGCCAAGTCCCATATACTTTGGGAGGGTATTCGGAATATCGATAAGTCCTGCCAGTAGATTTCTAAGATTTCCACTCTGTAAATTCCCGTATCGCTCACCAAAGACTTCTCCCAATCTCCGGGGAGGCAGCCTCCGTCGCAGTCGCATCCAGCTAAGTTGCACGATCCACGGCCGCAATACGTGCCCCGGAGTGGCCTTCCATCGCCGCATATCTTGATGACGCAGTTGCCGTCATCCGATCTTTGGCCACGAATCGCGGCGCACTGTCCATTCAGCACTTTGTACTTTACGACCTTTGCCTCGGCACAGCATACGGCACTTGCATCCGGCGCCTGCAGCACCAATAGCCAGAGCACGCCGAGCACAGCTATCAGGCACGAGAACTGAAGCATTTTATAGCACACAAGAGACGCGAGCTCGACTAATCTCTTCTCTGGCAAGCTACGACTGATGCTATATGTGTTGCAGAGCAGCTACTTATATACCACAGACGATTGATTCATGCTGATGCTGCTGATGAGCAAACTATGGAGTTGTAAGATATTAAGCTGCATTCAATAAATAATATCTCTAATTTAAAATAATATAAATTTATATATGGGTTGATAAATAAATATCAATTTATATTTAAAAATATATTTTTTAAATAAAAAAAAATTAAAAATTTTTAATGAAATATATATTTACTTAAATATAATATACAACAAAAATATATATAAATATATGTTATGAATGTATTTTTTTACATACATATTAATAAATATAAATATACATATATGGGTAAAATTTATTTATATGTATATGAGTATTTATGCCTCCTTACTACTATATATATAGTATCATCGAATAAGAAAATTGTTAGTTGTTATTGTTAAATTTTTAGATTATTTTGCATAGGTTCTATGTGATAGAAATTGATAGAATTTAATAGAAATTAGTCAATTCAAATCACTTTTGGTTTTTATATATACAACTGTATATATATATATATATATATATATATATACAGATATCTCCTTAAAACCGTTTGGTTGTCTGGTATTTTGTGGCATATATGCTGGAATTGTTGGCATTTGCTGGGAGTTTGGGGCTTGGCTGCGCGGTTTGTATCTGCGGTTTCTCTGGTCTGAGAACTCGGTCACCCCACCCCAATATCTCCCTTTCTCTTTCACTATTCGACTCGGCTTCGCTTTGGCAGCCTGTTGTCGTTAATTTCTGGCTGCCATTCGTGAGCAATTTAATTGAATTATTTGTGCACCGAATGCTCTGCACAGCCTGCGACAGCCCCTCTAATTGGCTGGGCAATGGAATGACGGCCACGTCTGAGGCGATGGCGTTTAATTAGCTCGTCTGGCACTGTACGCACTCTAGGTGTACCGCAGTAGGGTTAAGCTGCTTAGCTCTCACTGAGGCGGCAGGCGGCAGGCGGCAGGCGGCAACACGATGCCATCCATTATGTTGAAGTACGACGCCCTAATCAAATTGAGCTGCCAACGCATCAACCTTTGCCAGCAGCCGAATTTGTGTGGGTCTATCAGCTGCACGCTGAGCAAATTGAATTATCTTTGACAGACATGAGATTATTTGCGTATCCATCTAGCAGACGCACCTACATACATGTATACACCACAGAGACACTTTTAATAAGCAGTTGAAGTCGCACTTCACTTTATATTACAGAGTTTGGCTTATCAGCAACTGCAAGCAAATGCTTATTGATTAACGCTCACGCTATTGACTTATGTTTCAGTAGAAATCGTTATCTTCGGCTGCTACGAGCCTCGTATTATATAAGCATTATATAAGCAAATAGAATTATAGTCCCTACTTTATATGCATTATTTGCCAAAGACTACAATGGACTGGAGCTGCAATAACTGGCTAACTGATAGTTCCTAGCGTTGCAGAGCTCATTGGCAGAGCTCCAGCTGCGATTAATAATTGAGAAACTATCGCACATTTAGTCTGACTATCTATAACAACAAATTAATGGAGAAAAGATTAAATCATTTGGAGCATCGGAAAATTATCTAAAATAAATGGCTCAACAGAATGTTATAAATAAGTAAGTCTAGACTGAAGGTGCAATTTACTGACGTACAAGTCTTGTTTAGAATTTAGAAGGTCTAAACTAAATTCACTTTAGATTCGATGCTAATAAATGTATTATTATTCTGCTTATATATGAGTGATTTTATTTAAAGTAATTCAAATTAATGAAGTTATTGTCGTGATTAATGAGTAATTATTCTTATGATTATATTTAGTGTCATTTATGACTTCTATAAAGATGGTGGGCATAGAAACCTTTATCTCTGCTATTCGCTCTGGTTTGCGCTCCACTCACACAAGTTTTCTCTGCAACCTCAATATTCATTCGAAGAGCAATCCGAACTTGTCTTTGCTTGCAATTGAATATTTGAATAAGAGAGAGATTAATTCGCGCAGCCCCTCGTTACGTGGCGATAATTCCATATGGCATCGCGACGCAGTGTTTATTGACATGGGCTGGCTCGGCTTGTTGGACTGCTTGTCATGTCTGAGCTGCCATAAGCACGTCGCACACGTAGGCGCCATTTTTGAAAATGGCGTCAACGTCGGTTCCGCTGAGCAACAGCAGCAACAGCAGCTAAAATTTTAGGTTATATGTAGGTACGTTTGAATTGAATCGGAATGGAAATCGAATGGCTGGCTCTGCTTATGAAGTCGTTAGCGTTAGTCTCCTGCCGCCGGCTGCTGTCGTTAGCGATATTGGCACATCGTCGAAAATAATTGCCGGAAATACAAAAGGAAAACGGCAATGGCTTTGCCCGTGGCTGTGGCTCTGACTCTGACTCTGATTCTGACTGTGGCCCCGCCTCAAATGAAATCAAATAGAATGCTGCGTGTAGGAAAAGACATTCGAATAGATTTTCAATTTTCTCATCATCTCAGAGAGAAGCACCACAAGCAGCTCAAATACGTATCCGAGTCGCTGCCATTGTCCTCCCCATTGTATTCCGCCTGCTGGCTTACAGGGCGTATGCTCGGCTACAATTAATTACGATATTTGTGCAAGTGCGTGTGTGTGTGTGCGTGTGTGTGCTGTCCTTACTTGAGTGGCTTCTTTTCAATTTCGATTGTGTGGATGGCGCCCGGGGTTCATTGACTGTCCGGCTTAGCTGACCGAGCGCAATCGCCGGACTGCAGCTGCCCTATAAAAACCAACGTCCTGTGCCTGCCAAGCAACATTCTCAACCGGAACAGCCGCGGGCTCGCAACACCTTCGAGAAGCAGCAGCCACAGTGCACATCCTCATTCAGGAGCTAGCGATCAGGCATCATCCAAGCAGCTACACTAGCATGGCCTCACTGCAGTTGCTGCTCTGCTGTGCGACAACCCTACTGATTGCCAACGCCTTGGAGCTGACGCCCCACCTGCTGAGCGCTGCCTCTAATGATCCGGCGAACAGCAAGGCCAAGACGCAGTACACACCCTTTCCGCTAATCGACGACGACGTCGATGTGGAAGCCGTCGAGCTGCCGCTAGATGTGGACCAGGATCAGGATAACGGCGACTCCACCCGCAGGCATCACTCACTGCCGCCAGCCTGGCTGCAGTTCGCCGACGAGCCCGTCCAGAAGCCACGTGTAAGCAACAAGGCCTCCTTCGTCAAGCTGCCCGCAGGACAACAGCACAAGCATCCGCACGGACACGGACATGGCCACGGCGCGTGCACCATTGAGATAACCAGCAAGGTTCCAGGCCTCTGCCAGCCCATGAATATGGGCGTGGGCAGTGCCTGCATATCCGGTGAATTCATGGAGGTCTACAGTGGGTCACACTGCAGTAATTTTTAGAGCCCGACTGCCTCTCTGTATGTGCCTCTGTCTCTGTCTCTCTCGCTCTTTCGCTTTGATTGCTTGTTTAGTGTCTATGTTTAGTGGGTTTAATGGAGGAGTACGACTACCTGGTGCGCGTTTTGCAAATAACAAACAATAATATTTGTATAAATAAAGTATATTTAAAAACATTCGCTTAACAATTCTATTATATTGAGATCAAACTTACATAGGCTAAATAATTCAAAGATGTTCAGCAGCTTTACAGAGTTCTTATGCTATATACTTATATATGTAACTGATTATTTATGCAAGTATATTATTCATGAATTTTAGTTTATACGTTATATTTTTCTCCTGAACGATTAGTAGTCATAGGAATAGTAGTAAATAAAATAGTAGTAGTCATGGAAATAGTATCAGATTTTGAAGTAGTGCTAGTCATTGAAATAATGTCATTGAAAAATAGTAGTCATAAAAATGGTAGTAGAAATTAAAATAGTAGTAATTCTGGAAATAGTAGTATTCATTGAAATGGTAGTAGACGTTAAAGTAATAGAAGTTCTAGAAATAGTAGCAGTTATAGAAATATTAGTGGACATTAAAGTAGTCGTAGTTCTAGAAATAGTAGTGGTCATAGAAATGGTAGTAGACATTAAAGTAGTAATAGTTCTAGAAATAGTTTTTGAAGCAGAAATATTAATTTGGAATAAATCATATTTGTAGAAATAGTACCAGGTATTGAACTAATAGTAGTCATATAAAGAGTAGTAATCATAAAAATAGTAGTAGTTATAGAAATAGTAGCAGTTATATAAATATGTAGAATCAGTCATACAAATAATAATAGTCTTAGAAATTGTTGTAGATATTCAAATAGAAGAAATTATGGAAATACTACCAGTTACCAAAATAGTAGTTGTAATAGAAATAAGAGTAATAATATAAATAGTCGTAGTCATAAAGGAGTAATAGACGTAGAAATAGTAGCTATTCCGCAAAAAATTTTGAACTTATTTATCATATTATTAAACTTCTTTGTATACATCATATATTCTATTCAAAAATCATTATCGCCCTCAAGCAAGCTCTACCTAAAAGTTAAATATTAACTGTAGGGCTTTATATACATACATTAGAATAAATAAAATTTATTTTAACTAAAAAATACCATACCAATATAAACTACCAAACTAAAAATCTCTTCTATATATAAATTTAATAAATTCAAACGTAAACATTTTCTCATGTCAAGACAAATTAAATTGTTATTTATGCCCATAAATATCACGAAACTCAATCTCAATCGAACTAAAACCAAATATAGGATCTCAGCTTTAACAATATAAGAGAAATTCATTTTCACATTTTGGGCTAGATCATAAGACACCTAAACCTCAATCAAATAAAAACCCCTAATATTGAATCATGCTGCTTAATCCATATTTGATGCCCGTCCAGAAACTTACTCATTTCCTCATTTTGGGCCAGACCGTTGGCTTTGTGGGCTTGGCGCCCGGCACTGTGCTGGAGTTGCCAATGGCCACGCATTGGCCACCGAACACCTCCAGCAGCTGGGGCGCCTGGAAGAAGGGGGCGCGCTTCCAGTTGCCAGGACCCACGAGGTCAATGTGATCATAGATCAGCCCGGTTGCATCGATGGCACGAAACAGCTCCAATTGTTGCACATCCTGCAGATTGCTGCCCCACACGAAGACGACCTGCATCAGGTCCAGACCCAGGTCCAGCAGCTTCTGCTTCTGCTGAAAGTTTTTGACATGGGCCGCAGTGCCGAGCAGCTCGGCGCTCTCGGCAAAGTTGATGGCTTGTAGAAATGATTGTGTTCTGAGATCCATGTACTTATCCCAGATGTCCGTGCGGCCCGTGGTCATCAGCATGACCGGAAAGGCCGTTTGCTTCAGCCGCATCATGGTGCAGATGTCGGCATCAAAGCTGGCGAAGATCAGCGGACGCCCGCAGCCATAGTGCGCTGTCACCTCGATGATTCTGTCCACGAACACATTCTTGTTGAGCGACTGCGTGGACTCCAGATCGCCCGAAGCCATCAGCTGCGGCCACTTGACTGCCACGATGAGGCCGAGGCTCTTGGGCAGCGCCTCGTACACCTCGCTCAACTTGGGGAACAGTCGCTGCGCCTGGCTCACATTGCGCACATTCAGGTGGGTGTACTCCTGCATGCTCCATCTCTTCAGCAGGAAGACGCGACTCGCCTTGAGCTCCGCATAGCTGAGCTCCCGCACGAGCACATAGTGCAGATCGAAGCGGTCCTCGACGCGCTGCGTGTTGGCCCGCCTGGTGGTGTAGAAGCCAAAGCCACGCCAAACCACCGGCACGTAATCTCGCGTCAGTTGCACATCCAGGTGCACCATGTCGCCCTTGGCCCGCGGCACAGCCAGAAAACTTTCGATGGTGTTCTCCACGAGCGCCTGATGGCTGATGCCCAGGCCGCGATTGCCCACGTCTAGGGTGGGCCAGTTGTTGGGCCAGTAGCGCTGGAAGCTGACGCGCAAACTGCTGCTGGCAGCATTCGGCATGGGTCGTACCACCAGATAGGGCAAAATCAGCTGACCTATGACCTGCTGGGTGAGCTGACCCTGGATGGCCAGCTGCAGAGTGCCACGACTGCCACGCAGCTGCTCCGGCAGTATATAAGCCTCGCCCAGCGGCAGCTGGCCCTTGACGTCGGGCTCATAGATGGCCAGCCCAAAGGCATTGGACACATCCAGCGCCTGGCTGATGCGAAAGATAACAATGGCGCCTGGAGCATACTTGACGCCATGGCGAGCCTGCGGCCGAAAGGACGAACGATTGTAGGCGTAGCGCGACACCTCGATCAGCGCATTGTCCAGCACGCCCAGCGGCCGCAACTTGAGGCGCAGCTGCTGCTGTTGGCTGGCCAGGCCAGCGAGCAGGAAATGGTGCTGCCAAACGAACTTCAGCTCGATGACGTATTCGCGCTGCAGCCAGCCGCGCTCCAGCGAGTGCCCGCCGCCCACCGATCGGGGATAGGCCTCGCCAAAGACATCCACGCCCGGCGGCCGATAGATCTCGTAGGTCTGCAGCATGCGCGCCACCTGCTGCGCCTCCCAGCGGCGCAGCACGCGTTGCCCGTCGGCGTTTAGCGTATAGATCAGATAGCGATAGTAGACACGATGGCTGGCGCATATCCAACGACGCAGATACCATTTGCTGCGCTGCTTATTCTGGGCACGCAGCGTCAGCGCCTTGGCAACATTCCAGGCACCCAGAGCCGGATGATCGCCGCTAACAGCGATGAACTCATCGGGGGCCAGCTGTAGGTCGGGCCGCAGCTCCACGTTGAACACACGGAAGAAGGGCAGGCAGAGAAAACTGCGCGCGGTTAGCTGAGCGGGTCGGTCGCTATCAAAGATCTTGAAGGCCTGCAGCTGCGCCTGGTCAAACACAGACGATCCATTCAGAATGGTCGAATCGGCCGCTTTGCAAAACAATGGCCACAACAACAAAGCGATCCTATAGAGTATGCTAATTGATTTTAGCACTCGATACATTTTCGTTCTTCTCCAATTTAGGCGGCAGCGGCAACAGCACCATCATCTCGCACGAAATGTCAAAGAAAAAAAAACAAAAGAAAACAAACAACAACAAAACTTGTTTCTTCAACCGCGCAACACTAAGAAGACGCTCTTCTTGGTTGAGATCTTAACCCGGCGCTAACTGACGTTCGAATGAAAGAATTTCTTAATGTTCAGCACAGTTTTGTGGCTGGTGAAGCAGCTGGGAATGCACTGAAAGAAAAGGTGCCAAAGAATTATTGAACTATTGAAAATGAGTGAAAGCAATCGTCAGACATTTTATAAAAATATTTAAAGAGAAAAGTATGGCATTTATTTAATTTAAAATAAAAAATATATAAATCAAAATATTTCATTAGAGCTCAGTTTAGATTTTTAATAAAAATATATTACTATTATTATTATTATTATATTTTTGTTTTTATTTTCTCTCTCTGTACAGCAAAGTTTTAGTTATAGAACGAAAATGAGAAAAGTTTGGTTAAATTTAGAATTTTTATTTTCTAAAATTCAAAATAAAATAATTGAATTCAAATATTTCACTAGAATTTAGTTTAGATTTTTTATAAATGTTTATTATTATTATAATTATTTCTCCTTTTAAATATAAAGAGAAAATTATGATGGTATTAATTGCATTTGAATTATATAAACATCAATATATTTCACAAGAAATTACTTTAGATTAAATCTAATAGATTTTTAAGAAATATTTATTTTTTATTTTTTTTTTTATATGTATTAATTTATTTCCTATACAGAAATATTTATTCACTATACATAAATATATATAAAGAGAAAACTTTCTAAAATAAAAAATATATATATTTATTTTTTTTTTTTTTTTTTTTTTTGTATATATATTTTATTATATTTATTTACATCAATATATTGCAATTGAGAATTTAGTTGAAATTTTAAAGAAATATTAATTATTGTATTTGAAATTTCTCTCAGTGCACACATTTTAGTTATTCCTCTTTGGGCTTGATTAATAAGTTGCCACGAACTAATCAGGTTGGCCCCGAAAATCGGCATATGCAAATTCCGCTGGTCGATGGGGAAGAAAGTTGGAAAGAGCAGCTCAGATATTTTTGTCGACAACGAGAGGCCTCAAATAATGCGGATTGTAGCCCATATGCTGGTACTTGGACAGGTGCCAGCGCTGAATGGGCTCTTTGGGGTTCCTCATGCAGGTTTCCTTATTGACCAGGTGAAAGTCTTGGATCGATAGCCTCACAGTTTTCAGATAATTGCTTACCAGGTCGATTATTTCAATTGATGGGTACTCTCGGCGCGTATAAATAATCATTTGCTGCCGGTAAAAGGGCTGAGAGCAATGCAGCTCCACGGCGATTTGACTATAGTCCGTGTAGGTGATGCGGTTCCAATACAAGTCCACTGAAAGCCGTTTATCAGCTTAATGTACTCTTTCATTCGTTCTTTAGAAGAGCTTCCACTTACTTCCTTCGATCAAACATCTGTTGACTACCTCCGGCCTCGAGGCGTAGATAAACCAAATGCCCCGCATCTACAGGCACACACACACACACACACATATGTATATAAATATATATGAAGATCAATGTTAATTAAATATTTTAATTATTTATCTGGTTCAAGATCAAGACACATTCATTCACCTGTTGGTCGATCACTGGAAACTCTTTGTACAGGCACTTCCAAGCGCAACCCAAATCCAGAAGTGACGCACACAGCAGACACAAAAATAGATTCCAATGGGGCGACAAGCAGCGATTCGCTGTCAACATGGTCTTTATCTTCAGCTTCATCAACATGCAAATGAGTCGCTCCACAATTGAGCGTGGGGCACTAGGCCGTGGCTAACTTGTTTCAGTTTATTACCAATGTTTTCTCGCTATCATTATGGATCGAAAGAATTCGTCAGAGACTATTAAATAATGCCATGTCGAATTTATTAAGTGAATGTTTTCTCTATTATTCACCCACTTACACTCTCACTACCGCGTTCGCTCGCTCTCTCTCTGTATCACTAATTGTTTTCCTCTCTTTCTCTCTCGGTGTCTTCCATTCTGGGGTTCCCAATCTCTCTCGTACCTTACGTACCCCTCTCTCCATCCCTCCCAACTCTTCTCAAAATCTGTAAAGCACCTTCAGTCTGTCTGTTTTGTTCGATCTCTCTCTCTCTCTTTCCCCCTTGCGATACGCACTTTTTTATATCAAATTTAAATGTTTATTTAAATTCCTTTAAATACATATTTAAATTCCTTTAAATACTTATTTAAATTCCTTTAAATGTTTATTTAAATTTATTTAAATTTAATTTAAAAGTTGATATAAATTTGATAAATATTGAATTGATTACTTTTGGTGTTTTAAATATATTTTTATTGCTTTCAATTTTTTGCAGAAAGTTTCTATGTAATTCTTTTTTTCTCTCTTTTTTCATATTTGTGTTTTTTTTAGCATTTCATACCAAATGTTGTGTATTTTTTTTTTTTTTTTTTTGTTTATCCAACATATTGTCTCATTTTAAATTATTATAATATATTTAAATTATATATAAATCATTCTTTCTTTTATTTTATTTTTACATAAAGTCATATCCGTTTGCTTTTTTTCTCATTTTTTTTATGAATGAAATTTGTAGCATTGTCTTTTATAATTTATACAAAAATAGTATTTTTTTCTTTTCTTTTCATTGTTCATATGAAGCAGAACAAGGATTAAAAATATGAATAGCGATTACATATAAATTTAGTTAAAAGCTTTTCATTTCAATAGTTTCATAGAAATTAGAAATTTATATAATTCATTTTCCTTCCCTGAGCTCGCCAGCGAAACTTTACTGTACAATTTTTGCTTTCGACATAATTTGAATAAATATAAAATCAATTTGCTTAGAACGAAATACAAATATAGCTTCAATTAGACTTAAGCTGAGTTCACAATGATTATTACAAAATATATATAAATTTAACTCTCAGATATTTACATTCTATGGATAGGTACGCAATAGTATATACAAGTTCTGGTTACCTGGTGTAGATCGCTAGCTTGAGTAAATTTTTTATTTTTTTCTTTTTTTTTTGTGATCTCAGTGTAATGCTTAAACTACGTTTATGGGCCCATCCCAATGGCTACCCTCAATACCCATCCCTCATCCCCCGATTTCCCCTTTTACATTCTGCATTGAGCCTCGAACTCGGCGAGCAGAGCGCTGGAATTGAAGAACGATCGCTGCTTCGTCTCGGAGATATAGAGATCGCTGCGATCGTAGCAGGTGGCCGTGGCTCCAATTTCCGTGAAATATTTGACGCGCTCCTTGGAATTACAGTCGTCTCCCCAGATGACGATTATCTGGCCCTGGACACGCGCCTGCTCCAGCAAATGGGCAGCATTCTCGCCCAGAAAATCCTCGGCATGTGGCGCCGTGCCGGCCAGCTCGAAGGCCTGCGCATTGTTAACTGCGGCCAGGAAGTTGCGCGTGCGCAGATCACTGAAGGGCTGCCATTTCTTGGTCTCGCCCTGAGTGAGGAACATGACGGGGAAGATGTTTTGCTTGAAACGCAGCATGGTGCACATGTCGGCATCGAAGCTGGAGAAGATCAGCGGGCGGCCGCAGCCGAATTGAATGACCTCGTACAGCACACGATCCGCAAAGAAGTTCTTGTCGATGGTCTGCTCCGCCTCAGAGCCGCCGCCCTGGCGCCGCTGCGGCCACTTGATCTCCACATCGATGCCCAGCGACTTGGGCAGCTGCTGCAGCACGTCGACCAGTCTGGGGAAGATGCGATGCTCTGGCCGTGGCTCCGCATTGTGTGCTGGATACTCCATCACCTTGCCATTGACCACCGAGAAGATGCGCAGCCGCTTGAGCAGCTCATAGTTGATGTCCTTGATCAGCACGTACTCCAGCTGCTCGGGCTTCTCGATCAGCTTGCCCGGCGGCGCAGTGCGCAGGCCAAAGTCATGATAGATCACTGGGATCCCGTCAGCCGTCAGGTGCACATCCAGCTCCACCATATCCGCATGATGTGCATAGGCGCTCAGGAACGAGGCGATTGTGTTCTCCCGCTCCAGCGGCGCCTCGGCAATGTAGCTCTTGCCATTGCCGCGATGGCCCACATCCAGGTTGGGCCAGCTGCGCGGCCAGTAGTGGGCGTAGGTGGTCTTGAAGTCCAGCGGCGAGTACTGATATGGCTGCACCACCACATAAGGCAGCCGCAGGCGTGCCAACGTCTCCTCCGGCCGCTCGGCGGACTTGATGTGCAGCTGCAGCAGCCCCTCGCTGCCCACCAGCTGTGCGGCACTCAGACTGGCACTGCCCAAGAGTTCCTGGTCCAAGCTGTAGCACTCCAGCCGGAAGTTCTGCAGCATCATGCGATCCAGCGGCAAGGTGATATGGAAGATGACTATGTCGCCTTTCGTATATGAAACGCCATAGGCCGGCTGCAGCTGCAGTTGGCTCTTGCCGTAGAGCTGCTTGCTGTACTCTACCACCAGTCCGGCGGACTCCTCGACGGGCACGATTTTCAGCTGGACATGCTGCGGATCGAAGGTCTCAATGTCATGCACCTGGAACATCTTCTCGCCATTGAACTTTAGCTGTACGATAGCCTCGTGGTTGAGCCAGCCCCGATGCACCTGAGCCGAGCTCTCGTCCAAGCTGGTCAAGCCGAAGACATCCAGCGGACCGTGGCACTGCTGCTCCGGACAGGGATACAGCACGCGCGGCTTGAAGTGAGTCTCCCAGCGACGGATTTGCTTGTAGCCCGCCGCGTTCTCAATGTAGACAAAGTAACGGTACTCCAGCTGACGGCAAGACTGCAGCCGCACATTAGTCTGCCAGGTGAGATCGTCCAAGCGCTCGAGCGGCACACAGCGCGACAATTGCCACTCGCCCAGGGCCTTGGCATCGCCAGTCAGCCCCAGTTGCTCCTCGGGTGCCAACGGTGTCTCCAGCCGAACATTGAACTTCCTCATCGTGGGCTTGCAGTTGCCAGCCAGCGAAGCCGACTCGAGCAGCTCGTTGCCCGTGCCGCCATAGTTGTTGGCAGTGATGGCTGCTGCAGCATCGGCGCACTGTAAAACAGATGAGACGACAAGGCCAAGGATTAGTGAAATGGCGAGCATGGCGACAACTATGAAATGCGCGCAGAAACTGAATGCCAAAAGCATCAGACAGCGGCTAAAATACACCGAAAACTAATTGAACGATAAGGAAGCTGCGACAGCGTACGAATCAGTTATATTATTAGAATATGGATCGCAGGTTATCAGATGCGCTTCATCAGCTCGTGACTTTGGCGCAAGTGCAAACAGAATCACGTGTTGACCCCGCCCAACCGACGAGCTGCGATTGCGTTGAAGACTTCAACAATTTCTAATTACGCTTTAATCAGCCACCAGCTCAGGCTGGCTAATCAGAACAGACCCAATTGTCGAATGTGCTACGATCTATATGTACGTACATATAAATATGTTGACTGTCTTATAAACATATGTAGATGGGTATATATGTACATATGTATAGTGTATATGATATACATATATACATCATGTTTACACGACCGACACGTGCCTAACGAGCAGAACAACGCATTGCGATCTACAATTCTATAATATATTTATAAATATATAAATTGTGGTCTTTGTACCCGAGTATACATGGTTAAACAAAGAAAACAAGGAAAGTGTGGCGTGTTTGTCAATACAAACTATGAAAGTCACATATATCAATAACTACAGTATATAAAGTTTTTCTAAATAAATGTAATTTGAAGCTAATCTAATTTTAAGCTAATTTTTACTACAATATATAGATGCGTGAAAAAAATATTAATCAAAAACGGATATTGTATATAAAAACGTTATAAAAGTACACGCATATGTCTAAATCAACTCTATGAGTATAAATCAAAATAAAGCTTATCGCAAAACAATCAAAACTTTGAACTTCTATCAAAGAACTTTTGAAAAAAGCTTACAAAAACGCGCGCGCGTTTTAAAACGCACTGTCGCGCGCGATTTACCTGCACATAGAAACGCGCGCGCTGCTGCCAACACAATCGATGTACTTGTCGCTGTAGTTGTAAACAACGTTTCATGACGTCACTGTGGGCTGCTGCCCTAGCAACCAAAATCGAAATGTTTCTAAATTTATGCAGCCGAATAAGCCATACAGAAACGACACTTATTTAACGGCTCTTATTGTTGCCACGCGATCACGTGTTAAGGTCGCGATTTTGTTTTGATCAACTTGGACGTCGAAATTTATAGAATATTACAATTTCAACAGAAAGAAGCGCCCACGCAGCGCGAGTCGAATCGGGCCAACAGACACAGCGAATGCGAATGGCCAAAATTTAGCGCTACAAGCCAAAAAAAAATCAAAACATCAAAAAAATTAGCACCGACTTTTTCGGGAGAATCGTTCTATAAGATTTGGCAGCTATTACGATGCCAACTATATATACCTATATACTAGTTTTGCTCAGTTTCCGTATGTTGTTTTTGCTTTTTTTGTTACTGTCTGTTACGTCAATCATTTGGCCAGGCCAGGCCCCTTGCGCTCTTGGCACAATTACTGAAGCCTTGCTAAGGCTTTCAGAACTAAAACTTTTGCCAACAACTTATCTAGCGAGAAGAAATTTCCAACAAACCTAAAACACCTGAGAGTATGAAATATATACATACGTCTATAATTTAATTAAAATGATTTTTTTTTTTTTTTTTTTTTTTTTTGTCGAATGATAAGATTTGCCTAATTTCGCTAATAGCAATGTTTTTCGTCTTAATATCTTTGGCACGTGTTGCCAACCAAACTCCCTCTCTCTCGCTCGCTCTCTCACTCTGACGCAGCTGAGCTTTTGCACTCATCTGTTTTTTGTTTTGGGAAATTTCATGTAAAAAGCTCTTTTGGTACATTCTCTTGGCTCTTGGCTCTATTTACATGCAACCCAAAAGACAAGTTTCTTACCATCTGCTTAATTGTTTTTATTGAGAGGGAAATCGCTTTGTTGTATTCTTAACACTAATTGAAATCGATACGTTCATAAATTAATAGTTTATATTGGGCTTGTAAATTGAATAAGCCACAATCTTATCGAGCAACAGCTTGAAGTGCTACTTATGTGAACAAGTTTTCGCGACTCGAAACCCGATAGCAACAGCGAAACTATGGCATGAACACGTGACACCAACAATTTGCAACATGTGGCAAAGCTTTTTGCAGAGAAAGCATAAGGGCCAAAAAGCAATGGGGCTACAGCTGCAGATGAGTCAGCCAGCAATAATCAATTTTCTGTCATTATAAACAATGAATATGATATCATATATAAATAATTTCAAGGAAGGCTTAGCTAAGACAAAAAAAGAAAAGAACAAATGAGGACACAAGTGATACGCAGCTCATGTTTCAACTAATATAACTGAGAGTACATGACTTTCTCACAAATCTATATAGTCTATACTATATATACTTATATACTAAGTATTTGAATTTGACAAGCAGCTTTGACCTTCAGCTAAAGCAAAATGTCAAAATAAGGTACAATGGCACTTGCACAGTGCACTGCACATTGACGTCAGATGGGGCCAACTGCGATGTAATTTACTGTGATATTAAAATAAATCCTTAAGGATATTTACATTTTGCATGTGCTCATCGAGCGATTGGATTTCCAGCGGTGTTAATAACATAGGTACAGACATCGTAACTGTGGCACAGATTTTGTTAAATATATACTCTTTTGAGCACACAGTAAATATTGAATGAAGAAATTATAAGTTGTTTATCACAGTTAAGTTTTCTTTGTTTTGTATTTTTTTTTTCTTTCTTATTTTGCACAACGCGTCGTATGCGCAATTTACTGCTTAGCTAGGCAAGCATTTTGTACTAGGTTCAAGTTTTTGGTGAATATCTTCAAACTGTTTGTTCAGTTGTTTTTTGTTTGCTTGACTTGTTTGTATTTTATTTTATTTTTTTAGTTAATATCCTTTGTAGATGGTGGAAGGACGTTCTAGACGTTCCGTCGTCGTTGACCGACGTTGCATTCGCAACTGTTCCCAGCGCTTTTGTTGTGCGCGCAATTTAAACGAATTCTTTTTATCGTAAACAGCTCGTGAGCTGCAAAGCTTTTGCTGCCTGTTTTCGTTGTGTTGGTGTCTGTCGACGACGTTGGCGGTTTGTTTTGGTTTTCAACTTTCGGGGTACAGTTGCGGCTTCGATTTTTTATTATAAAATGTTGTTGGCCTCAGCTGGCGAGAACAACAAACACAGTTCATACAACGTGTATACTTGACTAATCTAAATATATTTACGTATATATAGCCGACTTTACGATACCCTAAAAATAATTGCTGATAAGCCAACAAAGAGGCCAACAAAGAGTCTCAAGTCATTAAATCTTTGATATATATAGACATGTGTATATACATATTATACATTGAAGTCACTCAATATTCGCATTATGAAAAATGATTTCCCGTTCATACCTCGCGTTCAGGTCAGCGTTCGATGCATCCTCGTTCAGTCAATTGCCTATAGGGTATAAGCAAAGCGTGCAAATATTTGTATACATCTTCGAGTGCCTTATAAAACGCATAGCGGCCACAGCTGAAAAGCTCAACATCAGCAAACGGCACACAACAAATGCCAGCTGTGAGAGCGAAAGAGAGCGCGTGAGCGAGCGAGCAGCAGCAGCTCAGTCTCACACACAGTCGCCGTCAATCACGCATTGCTTCAAACAAAAACGTGTTGGTCGTGTGCTCGGCGTCGGCGTCGCTCTTGCAGCGCACGTGTAAAGTTTTCGGTTGCAAGGGGCGTGCTGGGCCGGGCCCCTCCTAATGCCGTTGCTATGTGAGCTTTTGCTCTCACTGCCTGGCCGCGTCTCTCTCACAAACCGGTTTGGGTCGGTTGTGTGGTCATTGTTTTCCTTGTTGTTTGTTTACGTCGGCGGCCCATTCGAGTTGTTGATAACGCATAATAAACATTTCAAACGAATTCGAAAGCTTTTTGCCCCCGTGTGCAAATCGCTTTGAATCCAAAGCTCTGCAGTCAAGGCCTTTCCTCTATGCGAGCAACGATCGCAATTATAGGCTCATGAAATCAATTGTGCGTGTTTGTGTGTGTTACCAGGCAACGCCACGCCCCACAACATATAAATATAAACATATTAGAGTAGAGTAGATTAATTCAGATGCCCCGATGTGTCTCAATCTCTTGTCTTTCTATATTGCTCTCTTGTGACTTCTTTACTCTCGATCGTTTTCCATTTGATTTATTGTAAATTGTGTTTTATTTGCTCATTTTTGTTTTATTTTACTGCCGTCTTCGCTTCGCTCGTGTTTTGGTTTTGTTTTTCTTTTAAAATACATTTCACGCTGCAGACAAACACCTCATCAAAGTCCAAAGTGCAATTTGCTGCGGATAGTCTGCTCTCATAATTATATATAAATAAATGTCTATTATATACATATGTATATACATATGTATTCATAAGCATGAACACATAGAGACAAACATATACACATGCCTACATATAAATTAGTTTATTCACTATGTACGTGCCCTCGATCACACACATTCGATATTTTGGCATTGGTTTGTGTAAACATGTTTTCAATAATGTTTTGCCGTTACATTGTGACTTGTTTTTGTTTATTATTATTTTTGTTGTTGTTTGCAATAACAAAAGTTGTTTACCCCATTGAAAGCGTTGCGATAATATCTACGATAAGGCTGAACAATAATATACAGCTGATTAGCTGTGTAAGTTGTGCAAAGTTAAAGTACTCCGTAATCTTACCGGCTATTAACGACTATACTACACTCGCTCACACTAAAGCTTAACCCTATAATCTGTCAATTTACAGCCTATTAAGTTGACTATGAATCTTAAAATGAGAGAATATTTGTGAATCCCACTTTTATATACAAATTAAGTACGACCTAAAGTCCATTTACAATTGTCAAAATTTAATTATATAGACTTAAATAAAATAACTTTGCTCATATATCAACATTCTCGTATCTACATGTTACGATCGTACTAATTTCTCGTATGAATATGTCAAAAGGCATACCTGATCAGACATGTCTGCGCGCGATTCACTACAGGTGCACGAGTGCATGTATGTATGCAGCTTGCAAGTCGAACGCAGTAGGAGGCGTAGGTGAAATTGACAATTTGTTTTCACTTGTATTTTAAGCGATTCGCGCTTTTTAGTTTTGCAACCACTTCTTATCAAGGGATCGTATCACACTGGCGAGAGTTGGGTATATTGCCGAGCACAGTTCTTAAACTATTTAACAGGAAGTCGCATTTTCGCAGCAGACGCCGGAACAACGTAAATACAATTAATTCAATTTAAAACAATAAAATTTGCTACCCCAGCCGCACAAAGAGCCGATGATGGATGTCAACATCGCGATAAGCGACAGAGAGGCGCGCAGAGCAGAGCACATCAGAGCAGACAGTCAAACGAGAGAGGTCTGTAATAAAGTGATTATCAGTGAAAATGGCATCAAGGTCCCATATGTATTGAGAAACTGTACCGTTGCCATCACGCAGTTGCTGCCAGCGACTCGTTGCACTCTTTTGTTCTCTCCTGCTCCACAGACTCAGCTGGTGTTGTCTTAGAGTCACGCTCAAACAAGATGACCAGCTCCGTGTGTGTTGTGTGTGGAAACATGTCGACGGCAACAGCTGTCTTCGGATAGAACGGCTCCCCTTTGTACTGCTTGGACTCGGGCCGAGCTAACTCAATAAAATTGCGCTTGGCACTGTTGGGGTTGCATGACACATAGACCAAACGTTTGATGTCGCTCGCTGAGCGAATCGCGGCTATGGAGCGTGTGTCTGCAGGAAAGCAGAGGGAGAACAACATGTTAATTCAATTATCTAGTTAGAGTCCATCAACTACCTACGCAGTCCAGCACGTGGGGGATCCACAACAGCTATTAAATCAATGGGTTTGCCCGGCTCCTGGCCATACACGGCCTCACGCACCATGCTCTTTATATAGTCGTCGGCGTTGCCCGTAAAGAACTTGCAGTTCTTGATGCCATTCGTTTCCGCATTATGCTCTGCATCCTTGATGGCATCTGGCACAATCTCGACGCCCAGCACCTGTTTGCAGTGCTTGGCAAAGGCCAGGGCAATGGTGCCAGTGCCACAGCAAATGTCCAGCATGATTGTCTCCTGGTTGGGCGCAGCCAAGTCGATAGCCTGCTGATAAAGGACATCGGCGCCGGCTGTATTGATTTGAAAGAAGGCCAAGGGACTAATGCGGAACTGTAGCCCCTGAATGGTGTCCGTAATGTGCGTGCTGCCCGACAGATGGGTGACAGGATTCACCATTTGTCCCGCCTCGCGATGCTTGACATCCTGATAGTAGAGCGAAGTACATTTGTGAGTTTCGTTCTGCTCTGGCTGCTCATAAAAGGCTTTCAATTCCTGCTGCAGCTCTAGCAGCTCAGCTTCATTCAGATTTGACGAGTATATGCCAGCCACCAGCATTAGTTCACCGGTGGCACTGGAGCAGCGCACCATCAACTGCCGGAAGTGACCCACATTGCCATCGGGATTGAATGGCTGAAATTTAGATTGCCTGACCAGCTGCTGGAAGCTTCGCGCCGCCCACTTAGCTTGCGCTGGCAAATGTGGCAGTTCCTGCACCTCGGCCACTTCCACGGAGCCATCGCTGTAGCTTCCCAGCCGGAAACCTACTACAATCTCTCCTGCGGCATTTTTGCCCACTGTAAACTCGTTCTTGTTCCTATAGCCCTGCACAGTGGGCGACGGCAGAACGCCCTTGAACTCAAACTTGTCCAGATGAGGCTTGGCATCGGCATTCAGATGCCTTAACTCCTGTGTGTATTTCTTCAGCAGAGCAGACATTTCCTCTGTCTTTTGCTCCAGCTGCTGCTCATAGGGCATCTCAGCCAACGGACAGGTGGCCTCCACGGCTGTGCGCTGTCGCTTCGGTTTAACATCGCCGTCGTTCGCTTCCCCGCGGCGTTTCTGTAACGGATCGGCCGATGCTTTAGCTGCCACCGCTTTCAGTATCCTGCCCTTCCACTTGTACCCGTTGAGCGTTTCCAGTGCTCGCTGCTGATCCGCCTGACTGCGAAAGCAAACGAAGGCATATTCCTTGCGGGCGGGTGACTTTATTTTGGTCATGTCCAGCTTCAGCGTGTTCTTCAACAGCTTTTTGAGCTCCTGCATTGAAATATGAATATGTTATTAATGCAGATCTCTCAACTGCTGTATTCACTCACCCCGATGCCAAAATATCCCATATTCTTCACTTCAATTTTATAGATTTCCGAAGTAAATTCATTTCGCTCCAAATAATCGAATTCATTGCCGGCTTTTGGCTCTACTCCATCTGCAGCTGTTTCAACTTGTTGCGCCTCCGCTTCTTCATTTTCAGCAACGGCTTCACTTTGCTCTGGATGTTTCTCTACTGAAGCTGCACTCATTTTAACTGTTTTATAAACAAAATCTTCGGAAAGTATTTAAAAACGTGCAACACGTGAAATTGTTTAATGCATTGCAAGAACTATCGCTAATCTACGATAGTTCGATTGTTACATACACATGTGGTGGCTAGTCGATTAATACACACAGAGGAACGTCGTTTACGCGTTGCCAACTATTGCAAATATTCAAAAGCGAAAACCGCCAAAGTTTCAAAGTAAATGGTTAAAAATGATATTTTATTAACAAGTTGAACAATTAATATAATTTTACAGTTGTTAAGCATTGTTTGAAAATCGCTCTAGTGCCGCATCTAATATTTGTTTACGTTCTGTTAGCAACTGTTGCATCTCCGGCTCATGTTTCATAATATTTGTGATTTCCTCCAAAATTTCGGCTGCTTTCTTCAGCTTCGCCTCGCATTCACTGGCCTCATCCAAGCGCATAGCCTGCGTCACAGTCGCCTCCTCCAGGGCAATCAGCAAGTTACCTCTAAAGATGCTCCAGCCACTGTCAAACAGATTCGAAATCTCCAATAGCTCCTCGCAGAGCTCCACTTTCCGCTTGAGCGAGACGTCACTGAGTTCTGTTGGCATTGAAATTAGATTATAAAATATTTATATGTTTCTGAGTGTAGGTAATTTAATCTCACCGTCCATGCCAAAGCCTTTCACATTGCCATAGATCTGTGTCAAGGCATATTTCGCTTGGAGAATATGCGTATTCGTCTCATGCAGCTCCACGCGATGGCGATAGAGGAAATCCTCAAAGCTCTGCGGCGTTGTCTTGTCCAGTGATTCCAGCTCTGCCTCTATTTTTGCATCGTTTATCAAGTATTCCTTCGCGGGTCTTATCAAATTGCAAACCTCGCACCTCCAGTTGGCAGCATTTTGAAGTGGATCCATTGAGATGAACTAAATTAATAAATAAATATTTTAAAAAAATTTAAATCAATATATGAATAAATAAGTCAATAAAGTAATTAAAATTAAGTATATAAGAATAAATAAATAAAAATAAATAAAGTCAATAAAAATAAATAAATAACAAATAAATAAAAAATTATATTATAATGTATAAATAAATAAATTATGAATTATAAATAAATTAATAAATTAAATTATTGGAACTTAATGTATAAAAAGTATAAAATATAACTGAATTACAATAAATAAGTAAATAAATAATTAAATAAAAAATAAATAAATAAATGATAATCAAATAAAGTAATATATTAATTCATGAAAATTAATATATAAATATAAAATATAGCTAAATTCCAGTTATAATTACCTTTCCCACTTTACACTTGGCACACATATGCGCACCTGCATAGGTGCCAAGCTCCGTGGGATCTGCACAGCGTGCACAGGCGCACTCGAAGCACTTCACCTGCTTCAGGTGCAGCCGCCTTTGGATGGTGCTGCGCAACTGTTGGGTGTAGGAGATGCTGAGGATTTCGCCCTTGGCAATCGGGCGTTTGGCCAGGAACATGATGTTCATGTCGTCGTCGAAGCGATGCCGCATGTTGGGCACACAGTCGTGCGAGAACATGGCGCCACCTGGGAACAGGCCGCGCACCTTGATGCGATCGCCCGCCTGCCGCACCTCGAAGGCGTTCGTGTCCAATATGGCAGCGATACGCAGGATGTCCAGGTCCGGCCACTCGCGCAGCCCCAGCACCGTCTTGATGAACGAGATTAGATTGGCGCGCAGCACCTGATACAGCGGCGTCTCCAGACGCTCCTTCAGGTGATCCTCGAGCTCGCACAGGCGGGCGAATGCCGCTGGCTTGGACTCCTTCAGTTGCATGCAGCGCAGCAGCATGATCACACAATAGGCCGACTCCTTGCCCACCGGCTGCCCTGGACTATAGTTGATCTTCGACTGAAACTTACTGGCCGCCATCAAACGACATTCGTCCACATGGAACGCGGACCTCTCGCACTCGGGCCCGCACAGCGGCCAGCTGCAGGCGCTGCATTTGTAGTAGTTGAGGGCCGGCTTCTGCGGCGGCAACAGATTCCTGTGGCAGCCCAGGCAGATGGGCATCGAGGCCACCTTCGGGCCCAGCACCAGCGGCGCCTCACGCATGATCAGCTCGCCCATCTTGATGTCGCGCGTGGCACGCAGATGCCTGCCCAGCAGCTCATTGCTGGCCAGCTCGTAGCACTTGCACTCCAATTTGTGGCCTCGCTTCCAATGCTCCTTCTGATGCTCCCGGCTGCAGTAGACCACGTTGCGGCAGGCCGCGCACAGCTGTGTGGCATGTGCCTGGCAGTAGGCACATTTCGTTGGCGTAGTCATCTCCTAATCCCAATCCTGGCCCCAGCTGAACACCGCTATATCTTCTCTCCGCCTGTTTGCGTAACGTTCGACGTTTGAAAATTCACTGAAACAAACAAAAAATTTCTTTTGTGTCTCTGGCGCAACCGTGCGATCTCAATCTTGATCTTCATCTCTTGTCACTTGGCACACGACGATTTATTTTAAGACCCCAACCGACTCGAACAATACACAATTTGTGTGTCGAAATACATATCCACTCTTTCTCTCTCTCTCTTTTTTGACTCTCTCCCTCTATCTCTCAGTTATGCTCTCTCTCTCTCTCTCTCTCTCTAATATAATTGCTCTATTTGTTTTACTGTATTATTAGCTATTTAAAACATGTTAATAAAGCTATGAACACAGAATAAGATGTTCACCAAAATAAAGCTAATTATAATTATACGATAATTATACGAAAAAACATTTGCTAGAAGTCAGACTGAATGATATACATTTTTGTGTATGGAAAATGTCTCCTAAATTTTTATAGAAAGAGTCGCTTAAATTGTATTAGAAAATATTTCCAAATATTTCTTATTAACTTCGAAATTCTACTCCATTTTAACCCAATTTTTTAGACTTTATTATATTTAATTCTTAAGAAAAGAAAAAAATGCAATAACACTCTGTCTGACATCCATATATTTACTGTGATTAGCTCTAATTTTAATACAAAATAGAATTTAATTTCTTAACCATTTAACCAAAACTATAGATCAACGTCAACGGAGGCGCCATAATAGATCAAATGTGCCATGTTTTTACCGGTTTGATGTTCGAAGAGACATATGAAATGGTAATAAAAACTCCAAAGTATAGCACGCACTTAAATCGTATAGAAGTGCTTCAATTTGAAGGCTAAGGCTGAGCCATGCCCGATTGCAAGGTGAGCGGCAACCAAGAGAGCGGAGCAATAAGAAATGCAGTCAAAAATTCCGTTCAGAGCTACGATCCAGCTGACTGCATATACATAAGTATTATACACATTTTCCTCTACTTGACCCATCTACCCAAACTAACTCAGCTTAGAGTTGAGCACAATTCCTAGTTAGAGAGTGAGTAGCTGGAGTATTATATTTAGTTTATACTCTGAATAGTTAATTCACTCTTAAATGATTTGATTACCTTTCAATTTTGAGCCACCCTAATATACATATACGAGTATTCAATATTCCATTTCAATAAAAACTTCAATTGTTGCATTTCAATTTTAGCAATTCAATAATTTATTTAGTATTTCTCATAAATTGTCTATATGCATAAATGCGCATATATATGTATAAATATACACATTTATATATATATTTATATTTATATATTTATACGCAGTTAATTAATGTATTGTTTAATTGGAAATCAGTCTTTTTTTATTATTTAAATAAGAGTTAAATGCATTGTTGTTGTTGTTGTTGTGCTTTTTTGTTTGTTGTTGATTGTTGAAATGAAATCGGATTAATCAACGGAAATTAAAATTAATTATAATTATGATAAACATTAATTGAACTATCATTTATGGTAAATTGTTGTTGTTGTTGTTGTTGTGGTTGCATTGATGTCTTGTGTCTTGTTTGTTGATTGGTTTTACAAAATAATATTAATTTTAATAATAATTGATAATCATAGTAATGATAATGATAATGATAATGATAATGATAATAGTTATAGACAAATTTTAGCACTCTATACACTTAAAAGCGGGCGCAATAAAACATTTTCCTTTCATATAATATAGACAACAAATATATGTAGTTCTTTTTTTCTTTTCAATATTCATATTTCAATAATTTGCTCTAAACAATTAATTAGTTGTGTTTTGCTTTTGTTTAATTAATATTTTATGGTTGTTGTAGTTGTTGTTGTTGTTTATAGTACAGCAATGATATGTTGCTAGGCTGTGGTGCATAAGCGAAGCAATCGATGGCTACTAAATGCTGCTGCTAAGGCAAAGGCGCAAAAATCTTAATCTTCAGCTAGAGAGAGAGAATTCTACATTCAAGGACTTGGAATTCAGATTCAGTTTTCTGTCTATATATCTATAACTAGATATACTATATATACGTTATATATAATGCAACTTTATCGTACAAATAATATCAATAAATTACAAATTGCGCTACATTAAAAATTAAACAAAAAAAATAAAAAAGAGAGAAAAATTAAAAAAAAAAAATCGCGGCGCTTAAGCAACATTGGATTAGATATCGTTCTGCTCCTTGAAGTGATGATAGTGATGATGTATGTGCTCGTGCACATAGCGATGTATCATGGAGCTGGACGCACTAGTGTCCAGATCAACATCTGCCGCCAGCTGCGCGGACGGCTCCTCCAGATCCTTGGCCGTGACTGCCTCGGCCACCGCCTCGCCCACCTCGTCGTTCAGGTCGATCAGCGTGTCCGTGGAGACCACTTTGCTGGGCGTGCTCGTCAGCATGGGACTGGCGGGCTCCTCCTCCTCGCTGGCCAGCAAATGGGCACACTCAAGCGCATCGCCATAGATCTTCGAGCCAGCCGAACTGGAGCTGGAGGTGGCCATGGGACGTGTTGTTTCTCGTATGGCTGATGACTTTGATTGCAGCTGCAGTTGCTGCTGCTGCTGCTGCTGTTGCTGTTTGTGTCGCTGCTGGCGTCGCTGCTCGCGCTCCTTTTGCTGCAGCTGCTCGCTGAGCTTAGCATAGATTAGATTGCCATAGTTTTTGTAATCCTTGCTGCTGCGCTGCTGCTGCTGCTGCTGCTGCTGATGTTGCTGCTGCTGCTGATGTTGCTGCTGTTTGCTGCTCTTCTTCGGTATGGGCTGCACGGTGGCCACATTGCTGGGCGTGGCTGGTGGCGAGTGGGCGGCGCCGCCGCCACAAATGGTGGCATGCAGAAACGAATCGTAGCCGCACAGATTCAGCTTGTTGTGGGCGCTGTTGTGACTGTGCTGTGCCGCCACCACGGCCGGATTAATGGCCAGCTGCTGATGGTAGATGGGTATATGCGGCTGCGGATGATAGACACTGCTGTTGGCCGTATCGTGCCCGCCCTCTATATGATGCGGCACCGGCGACTGTGTGGGCGGACTGCAGCTGAGCGGCGATGGACCGGACTGTGGACTGTGATTCGCAATTAGTGTCGGGATTTTCGATCCGGTATTGCAGCGTTGGCGTTGCTGTTGCTGTTGTTGTTGTTGTTGTTGTGCTGCCGGTTGCCGTATGGGACTCACATTGGCTTGGGGTTTTCTATAAAATTAAGAAGAAAAGGGGGAAAAGGAATTGGATTAGCCTTGGGTTTTATATTAACTGCTATTGCTAGCTACTATTTTAGCCTTTTTACGACAAGAAGTCGTTGACTTTTAGCGAATTGTAATTATTTTTTGGCAAGCTCAAGTTTTATTTAAATACTTTTTGCAGAAAATTTCCATTGGAATAATTGCAAAAAAAGTTATATATAAATTAGGAAATTAAATTTAATAAAATCAAGAAATTGGATTTAATAAATAAAATCGTCGCTTGGAATTTATTTACTTTCTCCTTGATGAAAGTAAATTTACTTCGATTATTAATTAGCTGTTTTATCTTTGTGAAAAACCCAACTAGTGAACTTCTAGCGCAACCATCTATTATATTCACCAATCAAATTATAACTCTTTTACATAATATATTTATCTAAAATATCTCTACATTTTGTTTAGATCTGAAGTAGTAACCATTTATTTGCATTCTCAAATCATATATCAACCATATAATTTTTATCTTTTAATTCATTGTTTTATTTTTATTTTTTATAATTTATTTATTTTTTTTACTATTTATTATTAATTTTTTTTATTTTTATTTTTATTTTATTTTATTTTTTTATTATTTATTTTGTATTATTTTATTTTTCTTTTTTTCATTATTTACTTTTTTCTTATTTATTTTTTAATTCTTTATTTTCTTTTAATTTCATTTATTTTTATTTTTTCTTATATTATTTCCTCGTTATTTTTTTTTTTTTTTTTTCTAGACATTAGTCTATTCCACAGCATTTCTTTACATAATTTTGTATAATCTCCACCTACTCTATGTTCTTTTTTGTTTTCTTGGGATCTGCATTTTTCATCTTTAGTATTTTTTAAGTTCCTCTTTCTTTTTTAGTATATATTCTGTATTTTCTGGAGTATACAATCGTTTGTATCTGAATCTTAGCTTCTAGATTTTTGCATTTATATTATCTAGCTTGAGCCTCACTTTCTCTTACCCATTTAGCTGAAAACACAAGCGATTTTTTTCCATGCTCTCCCTGATGATGCTAATCAAATCGTTGCGGTTCAGCGCCGATTTCCAGCACTCGGCCGATTTCCGCTGCTGTTGGGCGAGCAGCGACTGTGGGCGTGGCTGACGCAGTTGCACACCATCGAGCATCGGCGGCTCGCCCAACGGCGGCGACGAAGAGCCGCTCTTCTGTGCCTGGCCGCCGCTCAGATGCTGCTGCGGCTGCTGCGACTGCGACTGCGACTGCGACTGAGGCTGCAGATGGCGATTCTGCCAGCAGGTGTCGTTGCCCACGGAGAGGCTGCGCTGACGCGTTTCAAGGCAGTGATCCTGATACTGGGATGGCGCGTTTACACGAGTAGCGAAGTGATGCGAGGTAATGAGCGAGTCAACCAAAAACGAAAAGAACAAAGTACAAACAAATTATAATCAAGCAAATCAAATCAAATATTTTAAATAATACAAATGATTAAATTTAAAATGAATTCAACTGAAGCACAACTTTAAATGGCTTTCGGCTAGCTTTTGTTGCTCTGCCGAAAAGTTACAAACTATTTTATAGGCCAAGCTATCTAGGTATGTGCGTACACCGAATAATTTATTAAATATTTTACAATATACAATATATAATAAAACAAGTAAGAAAGCTCTAGTCGAGACTGCTCGACTAGGAGATACCCTGAACCCTCTAAGCTGATATTCTAATCAGTCTGCACTTCTTTTCGAAACATACACACGCACGTATTAAAACGCGCTCTGCTAACTGCGCAGTAAGCAGCGACTGCGCTTGTGCTGCGCTGTAGTGTGGGCAACATTATAAGAATTTATTTGTTGAATAATTTAATTTCTAGACGTACAATCTTAATGAAACTCTTAGAGCGTAGATATGACTACAAATGTATGTACATTCCAAAGCACACGTCTCTAGTACTTGAAATACGCCTTTTACAAAGGTGAGGGTAAGGGGGTGGATATAAGTGTGGGGGGTAAAATACAACAAAAATCGAAATTATATAAAATTCATATAAGTCTACATTAAAAATTTGGAAGCTCTAGCTTTAAAGGTGTAGGAGATATAATTAAATAACTAGCTTTAGATAAGGTTTTTAATCGATAATAAAATATCGGGAGTAATTATCGATATATAAAGAAAAACTTGATATGCGCGTGATATTCACGGACCTAGGAAAAAAAATTTCAAGTCTCTAGCTCTTATATCTTCTGAGATCGACGCGTTCATACATACGGACGGACGGACGGACAGACGGACGGACAGGGCCAAATCGACTAAGCTCGTCGCGCTGATCAAGAATATATATACTTTGTGGGGTCTGCCACGCCTCCTTCTGCCTGTTACATACTTTTAACAAAACCATTATAACCTGATTTCCCATTTTCAATGGGTTCAGGGTATAAAAATATTGTGAGCAATATTACTATCAGAGCTGCTGCTCTAGCTAACCCATACTTAGCATGTTCTCTTCTGCATAAATGTATCGCTCTCCCTTTCCCTTTCTTTATTTAACTCTCTCTCTCTATCTGTCAATATATTTCTATCTCAATCTCTCTCCCCCTCTCATTAGCTCTTGCTCCCTATGCTTTTTTTCTCGTTTTGTGTCTCTAACTCTCTCTCTCTCTCTCTTTCTTGTTGCTTCTCTCTATATCTCTCTGTCTATATATCATTCATTCTTTATCTCTTTCTTTTCTTTCTCTTCAACTCTCTCACTCCCTTTTAAATATTTCTCTCTCTATTCCTCGTCAACTCCCTCTCTATCTTTATTATTTGGCTTTCTCTCTATCTCTAATACTCTTCAAGTCTGTTTTTTCTATTCAACTATCTCTGCCTCTTTCTATTTCCATTTCCCTTCAACTATCCCTCTCTGTCTGTCTCTTCATCCTCTCTCTCTCTCTCTCTCTCTCTCTCTCTCTCTTTCCTAGGCTTAATTCTACGGTATTATAGGCATATATATTTTACATTATTTAATGGTTTTGCTTATAATATTTAATTTTTGACTCCACTTCTATTCGCCTTGGGAACACCTGTTGATTATCCTACTCTTATGTCTCCAATCTCAAGTCTAGGCTCACAGTTTTGGCTTACAGCTAAATGTGATTTGCAACTGCCCAACTGTCGCTTACCTTTTGTTTTCGCGCTTTTCGCAACATTTTGACGCGCTGTGTGGCCTGCTTCATGTAGACATCCTGACTGTGGCTATGGCTGTGGTGGCTGTTGCTGTTGCTGTGGTGCTGATGTCGCTGTGCCCGCTGTGGACAGTGGTCGAGGACATCGACGGCTGCTTCCTTGTTGGCAATGCTGCAGCATTTGAGATTCAGCATATTCTCGCAGGTATTGCTGTGCCCATTGTCCGGCGTGTGCTGCTCCGACTGCGACTGCGACTGCGACAGAGACTGTGACTGCGACTGTGACTGCGACTGTGATTGTGCCTGTCCGCTGCAGCATGGCTCCAATTTAGTATTGTTCCTCTGGTATCTGGACTTTGACGGCTTGCCGCTGCCACTGCCACTGGGCTGGTGCTGCTCGAGCGCAGCAGCTGCCAGCTCCTTCTCCTTGTCGCTATTGCTGTCATCGTCCTCGTCATCGGACTTAATCAGTTTGCGTGGTCGATGACGATGCTGGCGGCGTGCGCCGCCGGATGTCGTTAGTGCCACGCCATTCGCTCCTGCCGCTCCTGCTGCTCCTGCTGCTCCTGTTTTCGACATGGCCGCCAGACCCGTGGGCAGCTTCTTTAGTTTGCTGCTGCTGCTGCTGTTGTTGTTGTTCGTGTTGCTATTGTTGTTGTTGTGGCATGTGGAGGCCGCAGCAGCAGCGGCGGCGGCGGCTGCGGCAGCTGCCTGCGTTTTCGATTTGCCTTCCGGACTGACGGTGAGGCGCACGTTAATTGTCTTGCTGCCACAGTGCGGCACCACCACGGACTTGCCAATGGACTCGTATATGGTATACACAATGCCCACAATGTCGTCCTTTGTTATTTTGCCATGATGCCCATCCAGATCGTAGAATGTGAATGAAAATTGCAGTGGCTGCGACGATTTACCACCCTCAACGGATACGTCGCAGGTGAATTCCTATTTCGCAGCAAAATAGAAATAGATAAAACGGGAAAGAGAACAAAAGATTGATATGAATAAAGATATTTTTTAATGAATATTTGCTTGAGCTTTATGTTAAATCAAATCCTTTTAGTTGCGCAATCATAAAACTCTCCTAAAAGATTCGTGTTGAAAGAGCTTCTCACGATTTATGAGAGCTGCTTTAGCTCTGCACTTTCCCAAAACTTTGCCAAGCGCCACAACTTTGAAGCTATGCGCAAATATTGCCAGCTGAGCGAGTGCTAAAAATGCTAATAGAGTGCAATACTTAACTTGTTTAAAGAGTCAACATATAAAATCAAGTGAAATAAGAAGAGCAAACTAAACTCTCTCTCGCTGCAGCAGTTGCCCCAGCGCACGACACGAGTAAAGTGCAATTTAAAGCGCCAGCCAAAAAGTATGCAGCACTTTTTGCTGCCACAGCTGGAGCATGCATCGATGGCTCTGTGTGTGTGTGTGTGCCGCAAAAACACGCAGAACAATTACCACAGCAACAACAGCAGCAAAAAGGCATAAAATGTCTGCAAATAGACTTGAAAATTGTGGCCATAATTTGACTAAATATTTAATTTCTCGCACGCTGCGCCACCAACTGCAGCGGGAATCAAAACAAAAACAAAAAACAAAACAAAAAAACGAAACGAAACGAAACAAAATGTAACCGAAACAGAACCAACAGCGACTGTGACTACGTGCCGCCTGCCAGCCTCTCCCTCTCCCACTCTTCCATCGTTCCGCATTTGCCATTGCCATTGATAAAGTGCTGGGCAAAGACAACACCACCAAGCTCCCTGCTCTGCTCTCTCTCTCTCACTCTCTTTTACTCGTTCTCCCACCACCCAACAACTTCCACTTGAAACTGAGAGCGGCGCAACGACGGCGACGGCGGCGAGAGCGGGAAATAAATATAATTTCTAGCTACTTGGCTTGAAGATTTTTAATTGCCTTTAAGTGCTTTCGCTTTGAGTTTGCTGCCTGTGTTTTGTTTTGGTTTTTGCATTTTGTTTTTGTTTTGTTTGTGTATGTGTTTGTTTCTTTGTTTTTTTGTATTTTCTGCGCTTTTAATGGGTTTTATTGAATTTTAATGTTTTGATATTTTTTTGGCCACAGACAGGGGAATGCCTGTTACAGTGGGTGGTAATTGAAAATTGCCAGCAACATTGTGTTAATGGAGAAAGCAACAGCCTAATGCAATTGCTCTCGTTGTTGTTGTTTTTGTTTGTATAGAAAAGCAATGGAAATTTAATTAAAAGCACATTTAAAAGTTGAGTTTATGCGTTCGGCACAGTGGGCACTGTGAAATATGGCAACCAAAACTGAGTTGATTAAACTTGACCAGCAGCTAAGGAAAAATAAGCAGAAGACGTAGCAGCACATTTTCAGTTAGCTGGGGGTCCATTAGAGAATGGAAAACCAAACATCATTTAATTTATATGCTTTTCAGTCAACAAAGGCAATCGCAAATCGGTAAAGCCTAGGCGAATCGAAATTCTATTTGCTGTGCATGTTGTAAATTGAATTATGCATAGATAAACTTTCGATTTTAATAATTGGCATTTGAAATTGAAACTCCATTTACGTACGAAATGAGTGTTTTGCGCATAAAATTGTTTGTTTTATGGGACTTGCTAGTTTTGTAAACAGCATGAAAATGTAAATTATTAGCTGAACTGCAATCTGGCGCATATGGAATATGAATATATGATACGTCTATTAAAATTATACATAAAGTATTTATTAAGTTCAGTCAGCGATTGGTTAAGCCAAACATTTGAATTCTCTTATGTTTACATGTTTCATTCCCAGTTCGTTCCCTTGACTGTGAGAAGATGTAGGCTAAGAGATATTCAGCGTTGCCAACTCTTGAGCTTAGAAACATTGCCAACGATATGAAAAATTCGTTATATACATATATTTGAAGTGCTAGAAAACTAATTATGAATTAACTATTTTCAAGTTAAAAAATTTTAACTATTTTTTTTTATATATTTCTTAGTAGCGCTTTAAATTAAAAAAATTAAATAAATTAATAAAAACATTTATTGATATTTTTTAATTAAATAATTAAAACTTTTTCTTCTGATTTTACTGAAGTAAAAAAAATTATATTAATAAAAATAAATATATATTTATAATTATTATTATTTTTTTTTTATATATATAATATATTTTTTTCAAATATAATATATTTTTAATTTATATTCATTAATTTATTGTTAATAAAAAATTTATTATTTTTATATTATAATAAAAGTTTATTATTTTTTTATTTAATTTGATTTAACTAACTCTCCACTTTTAATGGCATATTTACATATTTACTCGAAACCCCTTTTGAAACTTATGAAATTTCATTTCAAGTGGAATTTCCATTGGGAAATTCTCAATCAAACTATCTTCGAACTCACCTCCAAGCGTATGCGCTCCTCCTTGCTGTGATGATGCAAATGTCGCGAATATTGCGGATGTGTTGCATGTGGCAGGGGCATTGCCGCTGCTGCTGCGGCTGCGGCTGCATCGACCACATCCTCCTCCAGCTGTTGTGGCATATTTACATACTTGTTATGCTTGCCATTGGCGCTGCTGATGCGCAAGTGTTTGCTATGGCTGCCACTGCTGCTCATCTCCTGCTGTTGCCGGGTCACATGATGATGATGTTGCTGCTGCTGCTGATGCTGATGCGGCAGGAGTGGTTGTTGCTGCTGCTGCTGCTGCTGTTGCTTGACTGCGACTGCGACGTTTGATGCATTGCCCGGGGGCGTGGTGATTATATTAACCACAGGCGATCGAAGTTGTATATTATTGTCACGTTCGCTGACCAACAACAAATCGGGCGGTGCACTGCATGAGGATGAGGCGCGCACCTGATGGTACATCAGCTCCTCCGAGTCTGTGGTGCATTCCTGAACTGTAAGAATTAGAGCAAGAGTGTGGGACAGAGTGTGAGTTATAGATGCCATTTTAATTAAAATGCAAAGTGCCATGAAATTGATGTCGCTGCCAGCATTAATGTTGTTGCCCCAACCCCCCCGTCCCTTGGCATTTGCCTTTCTTCTTTTGGCGGCACATTTTGCCTTTGACTTTGTCTGCTGCGGCTGCTTGCAATTTATTTGCAATTTGCAATTTGCACAAGAACGCATTACGCGACAACAAAAGAAGCAAAGAAAAAATATAAATGAAATGAAATGAAATGAGAAATAAAATAAACTTTTATGCCTCAACGCCAACACAAAGCGCCAGACAAAACACTTGAAAGGCGACTGCGCCGCCTCTCGAGCATTCCTAATTAATGACGTCGTCAACTGTAAAGTGTTGTAGTCTCTGTGGCGTCGTCATCTCTGTTGAGTATATTTTTAGTTAATTGAAAATGCCACAGCTGGCCGAAGTTCCCTTCAGCTCCCTGAGCTCGCTCTCCCTCTCATTTCATTACTCATACGCCGCATAAGCCGCGCATACCAAAAACTTAAGCCCAGCTCTGCTTTTTGCTTTTCTTTTGCTGCCATCCTTTTGTTAGCCCTTTTAATTAATTAAGTAGCACACGATTTTCATTTTTTGCTGCAGCTCTCGCTAAGCTGACCCAATTTCTCATTTTTTTTTTTCGCTCTGCACCAGGACACGCTTTTTAATTGCATAAGCATTATGTAAAAGGAGTCCCCAGCTAGTTGCTTTGTCATTTCCACAATTCAACCCAACTCGACTCAACCCGTCTCGCCTCGTCTCGCCACGACAATTGAAGACAATTAGCCAAAGTGCTGTGCAAAATGAGTTGTTCGGCTTGCTTTGTTGCCCGCCAAGTGCGAGTGAGATTTGCCATGGAGTCGACTAAGTAGACTTCATTGTTTAGCCGAGCAGCGGCTGACCTGGTTCTCTTTCAACACACACACAATGGAAAATATGGAATTCTGGGTTATCTGACTGCATTATGAAATGCAATTTAAGATATCAGCTGGAAGGTTAAGATTAACCATTCGTCAGTCATTTAGATAGACTTTTATAAACAGTTTTATTTCTATTTGTACTTTTTTTTTTTAATTGCCTTTGTCTAGATTTTTATTTAAAATTAGCTAAGTTTATATGTTTTAAATATTTAAAAAAATATATATAAATTTGAATTTATTTTTTTATTTTTTTTAATTTATTTTTTTGTTTTATTTATTTATTTAATTTTTTTTTTTTTTTTTATGGCTTATAAATATTTGAAAACATTTTTTATATAATAAATAATTTATTTAAAATTAGAAAATAAAATAAATATATGTTTATTAATTTAAAGAAATATTTATATATACATAAATATTATTATTATTTTTTTTTTTTATTCAAGCTCAAAGAGTTAAGCTCTTTGTACCTTGAATGCATTGCAGTTTAAAATGAGATGAAATGAAATGGAAATGAAACATTCAGCAGGCAACATTGCTGAGCACATAAAGCATAAATATTCTTGGGAAGAGTCAACAGCCGAGACAATTGAATCCAGCTCGTCTGCCTGCCTAACTCTATACATCTCGTCTCATACCTCTTAGTTCGACGCACATGATCATTCTTCTAACTGCCTAAACCTGACTCTGGCTATTCAGAGCTGATTATCCTTTTCTAATTAGCCTTTGTCGAGTGCTATTTGCTTAAAGTGATTATTTTTCAGCTTAACCTGTCGCCGTTTTCCATGGAAATCAGTCAGCTTTCAATTAAGTTGGATTTCGGTTTCACTTTGGCAGTTCGCATGGGCTCGACGGCACGGAGTTTTGAGTTTGGTTTGCCTTGAGCTAACTGCCAGACATAATAAACGCTGGCCTGGTCTTTGGCCTATGCGAGAGACATACATACATAGATATATATGTATATCTGTATATACCTCTTCTTCTGCCTGTTTTTTTTTTTTTGCTATTGTTGATCTTAATCATGTGGCTCGAACATTTTTGTGCGTTTCGCCCTCGTTGAAGTTTTTTGTTGTTTTATTATTTTTTTTTTTTAGTTTTTGTTTGGTATGCGACTTCTCATTAATTGTTGTTGTTGTTGTTGTTGTTGTTGCTGTTTGTTGGTCGTTCGCGTCAGAAACACTTAACTTCATTAACACTTACATGCGAGATATGGCTAGAGACTCTAGTCGTCGACTCACAGCCAGCGCAACTGCAGCAGCAACAACAACTTTGGTTTTTCTTGGCCACACAGCCACAATTATGAAGTTTTATCTTTAGTTTATATCTTTTTTTTTTTTTTTTTTTTTTTGGGCTTTTATTATTATTATTATTTTATTTTGTTTGTAGTCATTTTGAAAAGTTTGCCTTGTTGGCACATCATCTGTCTAATAAATTGCTGCACGTAGTCTTAGCTGGATTCAGATTCCATCCGACATTCATTAGCTGTCGTCATTTTTTATGCACTTTGCAAAGCCAACTTTGACTCAAGATCTTTGACTGTGTGTATGCGTGTGTGTGTGTGTGTGTGTGTGCCTTTGTTGGGCTCTACACCTTTTCTAATTAAAGGCCGACCACTTGATGTGTCTGGCTCTGCTCTTTCAAGTCTCTGGTCTCTGGTCTCTGTCTCTATATCTGCAGCTCTCTTCCTTTCCGTTTCACTCTATCTCTCTGTCTCTCTCTCTCTCTCTCTTTCTCTTTCTCCCCCACTCACTCTCTGTATTCTCGACCAGCTTTGTTTTGCGTTTAATTATCGCCTTTGTGTTTTTTGAGCAAATACCGCGCCCGGTGCCGAACGATCGTGGCGCCAAGATAAACCAAAAGAACATGTTTTTCTCTCAAGTGGTTCGACCACAGCAGCACCACCAACAACAACAGCAACAACCACTCGATTCTCTGTTGTTGTTGAGTCATCTTGAAAGCATTCTTTTTTTTTTTTTTTTTTGCCTTCGATATGAAACATGCCGCCTTGCAAATTAACTTTGGCCTAAGCCACTCTGAAAGATACATATCGTATGTACTTATAGGCGCAAAATGAATTGGAAATTGGGAACAGTCAAGAGCAATGCGAGATGCTCTATAAAGCAAAAGAGAGAGACTGGTGAATCTTAGATCTTTTTTGGTATATAATTAAAATTTTTAATAAATTAATAAAGCATGAATTTATTAACTTTCATATTTTTTTAACGGAGCTAATCAAAGAGGGAAGCTTGGTCTTCTATTATTTTATACTTTTGTCATATACTGTCAAATCATATCATGATATATAACATAGGATAATAATCCTAGGATTTCTCCATATTCTACAAACTATATAAATAATAACAATATTACAAAAATCATTAATAAACTTTGACTTTTACACTAAACAATTTATATCAAAGTTTTCCATTTCCACCTATAATTCCAACTCATTTCGTGATTTATTTAGTTAAGCTATATTTTATTAAACATATTTATATATTAGCTGATATTTTTAGAGTTATTAGCTTGATATATTTGACTGAGCTTTTGCAATATATCACTATACTTCCACACATTGGGCCAGCTTTTCATTTGTAAGTTAAATTAAAATTATATTTTTAGTTTTATCTATATTGTGAATGAATAATATAATATAATATTATATTTCGTTTGCTCTCTTTAAGTATTTGCCTAAGAATTTCAATTTAGCTAGATTTCAATCAATATGAATCAATATTCACAACTTCATTTCCTTGGCGTCACCAAATGAATCACCAAGCACATGTACTACAGTTCGTCAGTCAAGTAGTTTGTTATATCTCTAGCCATGGCCAATGAATTGAATTGAATTTATACATTACGCAAATGCTGAAAAGCCAACAAATGAAAATGAACAGAGAGCCTATGGGCTATACGGCCGTCGCTCCAGCACTCGAGACCATTAGACGGTCGCAACACGCACGTTGCCTAATAGCTGCAGGTCGTCTCAGGGGCTATGGGGAAGTCGTTGAGGCTTATGTTGAGCGGCCTCATGAATTTTGTATGATAAATGAACGTCACGGCTCGAGGCTTATCTATCAAAAAGTTTCGGTTGCGGCGTACGTGGCGTATGAGTAATGTATCTTAGCGCTCAGCATAATTAAAGCCATAGAGATTTTCTATTGGGCAAGCTTTCATTAACATATTTTCTTATCAAATGTGAAAAACAGACAAAAGCTTTCTCAAGATGCTGTAGATTAGTTTTCAAAAGCGAGGATTTGCATAATTAATTGGCGTGTGTTTTTTTCTTCGTTTCATTTCATATCATTTTTTTTCTCTCTCTCTTTGTGGCGCTTACCTTTGGTTTTTATAGTGCAAATCAAAAATGCGCATAATTTCGTTAAATATTATAAATCGTTGTAATAAAACAAAACAGAGGAAAAAAAAAAAACACGACGCCAAAAAATTAACATGAAATTCAATATAAAACAGGTGGCGTTTGCTTTGTGCACACATTGGGCCAATCGCGCTGGCTGCATTGCTCACGTTTTATAAATATTTAAGACTTATTTATATGGCCATTAAATCGAGCTAATTTACAGCTATACATATATCGGACGGTATCTGATTAATCAGCGCTAAATAGCTGCGATATATGATACTGCTTTTAAAATATTATGCAAAAGATTTAAATGCCGATTAAATTGATTTCAAATTGATTAAATTGTTCAAATGCTTTCGGTTGCGTTTTATGTATTAATAATTTCTATCATAAGTTCCATTCAAATTCGAAATCAGAGTTTGAATAAAATGTGAGTTTACTGTTAATGTAAAGAAATTTCAAGCGCATTGAGTGAAATTTGGTGATAATTTTTAAAAGTTTATTATTATAGAAGGAAACATTAAATTTATAAAAAAATTAATTATTAAAAAAAAATCTTTAAGAGTTAATTTCTATCTCTTCCCTCTATCCTACTAGCTCTAGCTCTAGTAATAACTGATGTTTGCAGAACATTTTTTAGTAGTTGATCAGCCAGCGATTATTAAACTG